TCCTGCTGACAGGCCCTATAAGAGACTGCCTATCCCATAAGTCTGTTATGAAGCTGCAAGGAAAGCCAAGTAAACCGGTAAATACTGCCTGTCCCTGTCAGTAACATTTGCTGTCTTTTTAGCCGAATCATTTACCTTCTCCCTGGATGCTATTTGGGGCCAAGGCGAGAGAAGGGCCCAGCAAAGAGAGTACAAATTTAAACCCTCAACCTGTTGCTAAGAAGACTGTGACCACGTGAGCTCTGCTTCAGCCCTATGATGTCCAAGGGTCCCTGGAACGATAAGGAGAGGCCTTGGCCCTAAACTATCCTTCAGTCACACCACACGGAGACTGTGCATGCTCTCAGAACTTTATTAGGTGGACTTTGGGCAAAAGAGAACCCTGAAGCAGTCGCCCACCTGGTTCAGGACAACTGGGAGAGAGGAGCCTTTGCATGGAGACGTGCTCTTGTGGAGCATTATCTGATTTTTTAAAAAGGGGAGCTGACTGGCTGAACATCTCTGAGCACAAATTCAGATTATTATTAAAATGGTCAGCCAGAGGAAGGCAAGTCCCTGGGGACAAGGGCAGGCCAGAAGCAGATACCCCTGCTCTATATGAAGACAAACAGGTGCCACTTTCATGTTGAGCAGGGGGGATATCTCTGCTATTCCCAGATCAAGATTTGGCAGGAGAGGAACATGACAAATGATAATAGGACAAGTTTCTCAAATAGACAGATGAAGTGATTACACAAGGAAGAAAAAACTCTAATGGTTTATAAGGGGGTGTAAGTCGTGATTCTTCATTGGTACCTGATCCCATTACCCAAATGCCTTAAACCAGCCCTTCCAGGCACTGCCCCTCACAGCCTCCTGGCAGGGGGGCTATGTGGGAGGTAGGAGGGGAGAGGGGTCTTATTTTGCTACAGCCAAAAGGAGCTTGAGTGGGGAAAACAGACCTGACAAGTAGTAGCTGTTCCCCCCACTCTCCTAAGACTTCTGTCACATTTACAAATACATACATAAATACATTACATACAATAGCGAGTCTGGGAGGTAGGCTCCCCACAGAGGCTCGGCTGACACAGTTACACGTCTCGAATTCTAGAAAGGGTGCTGGGCTCCCAGAAATGGGCTCCATGTGGTGTCTCCTGCCCAGGGTTAGCCCTGCCCCAGCCCACCCCTCTCTTCAGGGTTCAGTTTGTCCAGTATGGAGAGTTGCCGTAGGCAGGTTTGGAGGCTTGTGACTTGGGCTGCAGGGAGCTGGGCTGGCTGCGCTGACCCGAGCCACTCTGAGGAGGAGAGAAGGCTGTCAAGGCTGGAGCAGAACCCCCAACCCAGGGCAGGGTGGCCCATCACTGGCTCACCTGAGCATCCTGCGGAAGATGGTGGTGTAACAGCTGTGAGTGAGGCTGCTGGTGGGCAGGCAGAATGTGCAAGAATGGTGGGGGTGCATAACCAGGAGCTGCTCCAGGGGCCAGGGGCCCAGTGGAACCCAAGGCCGAGGGCAGGCTGAACGGTGGAGGGGTCCCTGCATGAAATCCCTGCTTATCAAAAGTCTGTAGGGCAAAGAGACAACGGTGAGGACCATCTTGGGTTACATCCCTCACAAACCTGCACACCCATTTGTTCCTCCCTCACCTGAGTCTTATTGTAGACAGAACCAGTCATATCAGGTAGGCCAGTGGTGCTCGAAGAGACGGACACTCCTAGGAGGAAAAGCAGGTGTTCCCACAGCAGTTGGTCCCAACTCCAGCCTCCCCCACCTCCAGGGGCATTGTGGGACAGCCTGGCGTGAGGAGGAGTCAGGGAGGAGACAATTACTCTGGGCCTCAGTCCTGGGAAGGAGGGACAGACGCTACCTTTGCCAGGCCCAGAACCTGCAGGCTTGTTTTGTGCCTGTGATGATCCACCATAGCCACCCTTGGTGTAGTCTCCCGCTGCTGTCCCCTGGGTCAGGTCATCATAACCTAGCATGGCAGGGTACAAGAGGCATGTGTGAGCTAGGCAAGCCTGTCCCACCCGTGTCTCTCAGTGCTGGGCGCACCTCTCACCTGTGCTGTAGCTGTGCGGGCCATAACCACTGGCCTGCTGGAAGGGGGTCGGGGGAGTGCTGAGGTTCACACCATGCTGCTTGGCTGAGGCCGGTGGAACCTGGTGGGGCAAGCAAGAGAGGCATTAGAGAAACAGGGCAGGGGGGAGAGGTCAGGTACCCCTGGGTTAGCATAAAGCAGCAGGTGGCAAAATCACAAGGGACCTGTGTTAGTACAACACATGTTGGATCTAAAAACCAGCAGGAGCCCTACCCGGTTTGGCTCAGTGGATAAAGCATTGGCCTGCGGACTGAAGGGTCCCAGGTTCGATTCCGGCCAAAGGCACATGCCCGGGCTGTGGGCTCGATACCCCAGTAAGGGGCGTGCAAGAGGTAGCCAATCAATGGTTCTCTCTCATCATTGATGGTTCTATCTCTCTCTCCCTCTCTGAAATCATTAAAAAACAAAAACATAAAAAAAACACCTAAATAAATAATAAATAAAAACCAGTAGGAAAGCAACCTCGCCTCCAGCCCAGAACATTCCTGGAGATTCTAAGTGGGGTCATGTCCCTCACTCCCTGCAGCTGGAATTAAAACCCCCACAAATACTCACAAACATGGTGGGCCCATATTGGAAGGCACTGGGCACGCCTGTGTAGTAGGGAAGGCCAGTGTAGCTATAGCCAGGTGGCAGCGCAGGATTCAGAAAGGGCTGTTGGGGGGTGTGGTGGGCCTGGGATTGGCTCTGCTGTGCTTGAGCCAGTGTGGTGGGAGGTGCAGGGGATGCAGAGTCACCTCGACCAAACTTTGCGATATCACCTAGGAGAGAAGGAAAACTGATTCTAGTCACCGCCCTGAGCCAACCAGGAAAAACAGCCAGGCTGTCTCCTGCACACAGGAATGGGTCTGGCTGCCAGCTCACCAAAGGGAAGCTGGCAGGTGTCTCTTAGCCCTTCTATTTCCAGACACCTGGGATTAGCTACAGGCCAGTCTGATGTACACTCCCTTTCACCACCCCATCCCCTGGTGAACAGACTGACCTGAATATGGGTTATTAGCAAGGCTTCCATCTCGGCTGGCAAGGGCTGTGGGTGTAGCAAAGGGAATTCCATAATAATCCTAGGAGAGATCAGGGAGGCTCAATAAACAGACTGGCCACACCCCCTCCCTGGAGACCAGGCCCAGCAGGCAGCACAGGCACTCTATGTGATGCCACATCCTGGGACATGGTAGGCCGCAAGGATGACACACGCACATGCACTAAGTTGATGGTGCCTGTTGGAGTTGTACAATGTGGCATCCACAAAGCACAAAGCACGCGGATACAATGACCAATCCCTCAGCTTTCCACAGGCAGAGCCATTGGAGGCCCAATGCCACACATCCATTTACACTGCAGATGGACACAGATGGATGCCATAGGCAGAACCGATTCTGCTGGCATTTCCTATGTGAGACTATAGAGCAGTTGACTAGACAGTAGAAACCTAAAAAGGAGTCAGTAGGAGAGGAAATGCTTAAAGGGTTTAAGGGGTCAGGGCAGCAACGCCAGGTAGGTAAAAGTACAAGCAGGACCCCAGGTAAGGTTTTGAACTTGTCTCTCACCCAGTCGGCAACACTAACACCCCACAGGAATCAGGGATATCAAGAGGGCAAAACACAGCGGAGCTCTGTGGAAAAGGGGAGGCCTGCCTCGACCCTTACTACCCAGGGCTTTGCAGTCCCAGACATCCACACCCTCTGAACCAAGGAAAGCCCTCCTGCTTTCCTCATGGGCCTGGTTTCCAGGTAGCTTCTAGGAAACCTGTAGCATCCTCAGTCAGGATCCCAGAAGGCAGGGCTAGGCTAGCACAGAGCCAGGAGGGACACAACTGGAGACCGGCCTAGAGAACCCAGGAGGGGGCGCTCTTTCATAGAAGAAAAGAAAATCCAAAGGCGGGAATAAAAAAGTGCCAGAGGCTAAGGGATGACCAAAGGGAAAAATGAAAGCTGTATCTCAACACATAGACCCAGAGGTGCTTTCTTCTAAGGCACAAAATGATAAAGGGAATACAAAGCAAATGACTCCCAGAACTGGGATTCCAATGAGCCACTCCTGGGGGTCCAAACAGGACCCACATGCAGACTCACTCAGGACCACCTTTTGCATTCCATCTCTGATGCCCTGGGGCTCCTGGGCAAGATTGCTGTGAGATTCCATGAGTATCGGGGACCAGGGCCACTTCTAGTTTCCCCACACAGCCCTAAGGCTCAGGCATACCCAAAGACCCTAAGTTCTGTTGACCACCCTAGAAACCTGCCATCATGTTTTCAACATCCTTTCTCTGGGGATGTGGGCAACAGCTAGAGAGTCCAGAGGCCCCTGGACAGCATTGTTAATGGGCTGCTGGTTTGCACAGATGGGGAAGAGTGGCCCAGCTACCAGCCTCTGCCTCTGGACATACTTCATCAGATGGATACAAGAGTTCCAGTCACTGGGCATGGAAGGTGAAAGTGACACCTGCAGCTCCCAGAGCTTTCTGTGTCCAGTGTGTGTGTGTGTGTGTGTGTGTGTGAAAGCAACACCAATGGGGAGGAGTCTGAGGAAAGACACTTCCTCAGGGAATCGAAGTACCATATGCAGTGGAGGGGACACCAGTGTCCAAACAGCTATTTACTTCCCAACAGTGTGACAGGTAGATGCCCCGCACTGCTGAAAATTATCAAAAATCTAGGAAACAGGAGTCTGAGAAACCAGACCAAGAAAGGAGTGGTGGTGCAGGAGTCTGCGGGCTGTCCCTCCACAGCCTCCTCCACTGCAGTCCTGTTCACCTGGCCATCCCAGGGAAGGCCCAGTACCTCGTCCTTGGAGCAAGGCTCAGCATAAAGAAGCAGTCCTGGCCTCAGAGTGAGGCTGCAACAGCCAGGAAGACTCTGGGGCCAGCATTCTTGCAAAGAGCAATGGCAGGCCGGAGGGTCCTTAACGTCTGTCAGCTCCAGCCACTCAGCTAGGGACAGAAGAGCAAGGTGCCATCACAGCATCATCAATGGCCACTTCAGAAGCCAAAGACACTGAATGGCACTTTGAAGGAGAAGATTATAAAAACTCTAGGGACAGGCAAACAACTCCATGTCTTGTGTCCCAGGTAAAAGAGGAGAATTTGGTGGGGGCACTGCCAACTCCCAAGTCCCAATGGTCTTTAAGTTCCCTGGGGATGAGCAAAGGACATGCATGTGCCCGAGCTATAGCTGCACCAGGTACAACTACAAATGGAAGCAAGTTCCTTAGCTTGAGGCTGAGTATCCTGAGGGCCAGGCAGGGTGGAATCCAGGCAGAGAGAAGAGCCTCACCCTCCCGGCATTTCCCACTCACCACCGGCAGCCGTGACTGCAGCATCTGGAGTTCATCGTAGCCATAGATCTGTGTGAGGACCACAAGGGGTGTTAAGGATGACACATTATCCCCTGGGAAGCCCAGGCCCACGTGGGGGCCTGAACAAGATGGGAGGACAGGACACACTCAGGAAGAGGACCAGGATGAGCTGCTGGGAGAAGGCACCTTGCCTTGATGGGAGCCAAGGCTGGCCGGTAGATCCACCATGCACTCACCGGGTAGGCAGGAAGTAGTCCTCCGGGGCCCACGAGGTACTGGTTGTGTAGCAGGGGTGGCACCCCCTGGGGCAGGTTGGGGGGCGCTTTGCCTATAAAGACAAAAATCAAATGAAGTGAAGTGGCTACCACAAAGAGTAAGATTCCTCAGCTACTATGGGGCTGGGGGTGAAGTTCCCTGCCATAGTCCTACCCTAATTGGGGCCACAGCCAAGAGGGAAGGGCAGCAGCTGAGAGATACAGAGGGCCACACCAGGAAGTGGAGACAGAGAGTACGTGTCCTAGTCAGGAGGCTGTTTCCATGCTGAGATAGAAACCTGCCCCCACCACTCCTGAAGGTCATACTGGACTAGATAAACCTGAACATAAAGAACAATTGGGGCCCTAGCCAGTTTGGCTCAGTGGACAGAGCATCAGCCTACAGACTGAAGGGTCCCAGGTTCGATTCCGGTCCAGGGCATATGCCCGGTTGCAGGCTCGATCCCCAGTAGGGGGTGTGCAGGAGGCAGCCGATCAATGAGTCATCATTGATGCAGCTGATTAATGATTCTCTCTCATTATTGATGTTTCTATCTCTTGGTCCCTCTCCCTTCCTTTCTGAAATAAATAAAAATATTTTTTAAAAAAAGTAAGAACAATTGGGGGGTGGGAGGCTGAGTAAAGGTGGGCAAAGAGGGAGAAAATGGGGGAAAATCTGTAATATTGTCAACAATTGAAAAAGGAAAGAAATGGAACAATCTACCTCCTCAGAACGGAAGAGAGGCTGGGCATTGCCAGGAGAGGGACAGGGTGTGTCAAAGGTGGGTTTTAGCAGTTTCTACCAAACCACAGTTTGTTTGGCCCACACAGACTGCTCAGGTGTGGCTGACAATCAGTCACATAAAATGACCAGAAATAGCCAATGGTAGCTGCTCACTCTGTCACTATTGTCATCACAGTTCCAGGGATGAGCGAGAACACAAGACTGGTGAGCTAGAAGCACAAAGGCTGCCAGGAATCCTGCCCAAGGGAGTCCATCCGGAAAGACCAATTTCATCTATCTCTACCCACATCAGCGCTGAAGAGCTGGGTTTCAAGAGGTCACTGGAACAAAGAGGACAAGTGACCAAAGGCAGGGCTGGAGGGAGACTATGATCTGATGTGTGTGGTTGCTCACCATGCCCTGCCAACCTCTGGGCATCCTCCCTGGAATCCAAGTGCACATCTTTGAGGGGATGGGGGAAGGTGGGAAAGGCCTCGGGGGCACACACCTGAGGTCACCAAGGGCGTGGCTCTGGTACTGCTGCTAGGGGCACTCACGGTGGTTCCGCCCAGGCAGAGGCTGTTCACTGTGTTCATGCTGCTTGGCAGGCTGAGTCCTGAGGACGTGGCACTCGAGGTGGAGGTTGCTGCCATTGAGAAGGTGGCTGAGGACTGGAGGGAAGGGGTGTTCTCCACACTGGTGTGCTGGCAAAATAAAAAAGCCAGGACACATGGGTCCGGGAGCAAAGCACGGGAGGCAAGAGAACCTAGCCGGGCGTTTGGGCCTGTAGTCTTGAGATTCTGACCTGAGGGGCTCTGGACTCGGCATTTACATTACTACACATTAGCCCCTTTGCCCCTCACCCTGTTAGGTTAGGACATCAGAAGGCAACTTTTAAGCTGGGTATCAAGATTATTAAAGTAAGCTTTATGACCAAAACCCTCCTAAAAATTCTTACAGTTGCTCATTTTCTGGTATACGCCACAAGGCATAGAAACCGCAAGTATGTGTATGTGTGTGTGTGTATGCACACATATGTATACACACACACACACACACACACACACACACACACACACACACAGAGAGTTTTTATTGATTTTTAGAGAGGAATGGAGAGTGAGAGAGAGAAAAATCAATTGGCTGCCTCCTGTATGCCCCTAGCCCGGAATCAAGCCCGCACCTTGGGCCCATGTGCCCTAACTGGGAATCAAACTGGTAACCTTTCAGTAAGCCACACCGGCGAGGGCCCAAGTAAATTTTAAATGAACACAGACATCTGAGTACAAGGTGAGAACCCACCTCACAGAAAAGCAAGTAGTCTCAGGAGAGCCGAAAACAGGCCACAGGCAGCCCAGCCCAAGTCCAAGCATTCTGGGATATTCTATTAGTCTTCTTAGCTACTCTGATCTGGAAGTCACAGATGGCCAAGAGAGGCCTTTGCTCCAGAACTTGGTAACATTTTGCAGAATTGAGTCCTGGGGAGTCCCCCACCAGGGCCTACCTAAAAGGGCATGGCCTACCCTGATGCCTACTCGACAAGATCCACTTACGAAAGAAGGGCGAAACCCAGAAGAAAGCTCTGAAGAGCCAGAGTTCCAGGAAGCCAGCCTGGCCGCTCCACTTCAGCGAGTATTAAGGTAGAAGAGATGTACTTGGCTGGGCAAAGTATGACCAAAGTCGGAGGGAAAGGCTCTGTAAGACTGCGATCAGCCTCCAGACCAGAATGTGTACAGAACGAAGAAGCCTGAAAACTCCTGAAGGAGAAGCCAGAGAACAGAAAGCCCCAGGAGAAATTCTGCTTCCCATCACACAGACAACTCTATTGGTCCCAGCCCACAGGCGGCCCTCGCCACCTGAGCACTAGCCTAAGGGCCCTAACGTCTAGAATTGGTTCTGCAAGAGAAAGAAGCTAAAATCATAGTCTCCTCAGACTCCCCAGGACTCCTGCTCTTTCAGCCCAGACAGAACCAGGGGGAGGACAGCCAAGGGAACAAGGTGAAGGCTGTGCCAATCTGCCCAGCCAGACGGCTCCATGCTCCTCTGCGTGGGTCCAGGCTTCCCACCCAGAGCAACTTTCTAGAGAACTAGTTCCTAGTTTGCTGAAAGGAACTCAACAAGCATCCAGGAAGCCTCTCCCACGTCCAGCTGGCCCAACAGGGCTTCTATCTCTGACCCCACCTCCCAGACCCATGAGGGCGACGAGCTGCTGGAGTAAGAGGCCTCTGCCCCATTGCAAGGCTCTCAGTGCACTCAAGGGGCTGGGCAGTCAGGGTGGGTGAAGAGCACAGCTACACCAAACCTCCCACAAGGACACGGAGGGCAGGAGAAAACACTAAGATTTCCTTCATAACCTTCACGTGGGGAAGTTCTAACTATAACAGACTATAAAAGCGGGGCTGATAGGTCTGATTATTATTTTTTTAAAATATATTTTATTGATTTTTCACAGAGAGGAAGGGAGAGGGATAGAGAGTTAGAAACATCGATGAGAGAGAAATATCGATAAGCTGCCTCCTGCACATTTCCCACTGGGGATGTGCCCACAGCCCAGGTACATGCCCTTGACCGGAATCGAACCCGGGGCCCTTGAGTCCGCAGGCCGACGCTCTATCCACTGAGCCAAACCGGTTTCGGCTGATAGGTCTGATTATATAAAAATAAAAAATATTTATAAAGTGACAAACAGGGAAAATAACTGTACCTCTGATCACAAAAGGCTTACTAGTCTCCTGAATACAGAGTGCCTAGAAATAGACACCAAGGACCTGACAGGAAAATGAGCAAACAATATAAGTAACTCATGCCCTGACCGGTTTGGCTCAGTGGGTAGAGCATCGGTCTGCAGACTGAAAGGTCCCAGGTTCGATTCTGGTCAAGGGCATGTACCTTGGTTGCGGGCACATCCCCAGTGGGAGGTTTGCAGGAGGCAGCTGATCGATGTTTCTAACTCTCTATCCCTCTCCCTTCCTCTCTGTAAAAAAATCAATAAAATATATTTTAAAAAAATAATAAATAAATAAATAACTCACCAAAAAGAAAAAAATAATGGTTTTCCAATATGTAAAAAAGATGGTCAACCTCATTCAATTATACCGACAGGTCATTTTTCTACTATTAACACATTGGAAAAATACAAATATTCAGTAACATCATTTCAGGGGGCAGCGGGGAAATAGGGTGTTTCATTCATTGCCAGTGGGAGGTAAGCAGGTTAAAATCAATAAGCAGAGCATTTGGCATTTTGTATAAAATGACAATGTCTAGCAACTCCACACTAGGGTTTATCCTCTACTACTGCTGCAGGACGAAACAACATTGGCAGGATGTTATCAAATGAAGCATCAAGCTTAAAGTTCTATCAGTGGAGAACTGATTAAATACTGTAATGCAGGAGAGCTGTGGAAAGAACTCTGCTTCAAATAGAAACAATTAAAAAATGCACTTATTAAGTGGGGGAAAGCAGTGAAGGGCACTATGTATGAAATATCCCATTTCTGTTGTAGAAGAGGGAGAAAAATGACTGTGTATGCATTCACTATTTAATAGGTTAAAAAGAACTCTAGAGGAACAAGTCAACAGGAGAAAGGGGCAGAACCTTAAGCCGATGGAAAAAAAAATTTTTTAGTATATGCCTTTTTATACCTTTCTCTAATAAACCTTACAGCTCTATTACAGTGTGGCAATTCTGTCACACTGACCAAGTGTGGGACTCCCTGGACAAGGCAATTCTGGCCAGTCACTTAGATCGTATGATCTGGCGTTTCCTGACAAGATACAAAGTGCTGCTGACCAGTGCGAACAGGAGCACTAACTCCAATGCCTCAGTGCCCGGAAACAGAAGCCACTAGACAGTGCTCACACTGGGGCAGCTCATGGCTCCCACTGAACAACATGGGCACAGGCAAGTGGGCAGAAGTATCCACCATGTGCTCTGGTATGAAGATGGTGCTCTGTGTATTTTATGACAAAGAACCATGCCTAACATTCACTTGGAAAACTACAGTTTGAAAGCCTCAATGTTTGCCAGATCATGATGGAAAGATAGAACTGACCCTTTTCTATCACCTCATTCTGCAGCAAATGATTTGATCTCTTCTTTAAAGGAAACAAATTTTCCCAATTCCCAGACTCCCGCATTTATCTGTACCCAAAGCTTCCCTCCCTGCTTGGGGACCCATCCACTCCAGCCTTACCAAAAGCCTCCTGTCTCCCAGGAGAAGGATATTTTGTTCTTTTTTCAGGCACCTTTCTTTCCTCAAATATCTATGCTCAGTCTCTCCTAGAATTAGATCACTACCCTGACTCCTTGCCATTTCACAAACATTCATGCCACAACCCACCACAACCTATACTAACTCCTACCACTGAAACCATGCTCCTCCCAACTTCAAACCTCGAGAAGCCACACTTCAATGACCATCACCTAGTTTACTCTTTTATCTCTCCACATTCCTGACTTTGTTCTGCAATATCAACCTTCCCAAAGTCTCTGCCTCTGAGTTGGGGGAAATGACCTGAGACGCCAGAGCTCACAGTGAACAGAATACCTAATGCCAGAATTAGGGAAGTCCCCATGACCACCAACAAACTGGAACAGAGCTACACCGACTGGGGTAGAGCCAGGCTGTCAGTCTCAAAAAGATGTGTGTGTGCACATAAAGGACAGATATTCTCACATAAGCTCTCCCTTTCACCTAAAGCATTTCTCTACGGGGCCTTCACAAAGTAACAGAGGGCTATCCAGGAAAAATGGTCTTCATTAAAGTTGACTTTTAGTGGAGCCCAAGTTGAAGTTAACAATGGGCCCACTTTCCTCTAAAAGCTTGCAAATGCCTCAACATAACATTTCCCAGAAAATAAATCACCCCTGCTAGGCAGAAAGGTCTCCTATAATAAACAGGAAGCACAGTGAATTGTTGGAAATAAATTCACCACCTGACAGCACTGGCTCATCACATACCAGGTCTAGAGAAGCAAGTTCTCCAGAGGCATGAACTTAGAAAGCAAGATGTTTTCCATGGTGTCTAGGAAGTCCACAGCTCAAACCACAAACTTAGATCGAGACATTATAGCCAAAGAACTCAAGATTACCTCACATACTTAAAATCCACAAACTAAAGGCCCACCGGGGGGTGACTAAGCTCCAAGCTCACTGAGCAGGGTGGTGGATGGGGGAGCCCAGAGGACACTTACTGTGTGTGACGTGCTGGAGGAGAGTGCTGTGTGCGCAGAGGAGAGGCTGCTCTGATGGGTGGAGAGTGAACTAGAAGACAAAACAGAGCACCACGTATGTCCACCCAACCAAGGCCCTCCACAGGCACGGAGCCCCCGTGTCGGGTGGGCTAGGCATAAGCTCGCCCATTCTCTTCAGGAGAAGCCCCAGCTTCATGCCCATCGCCTGGGAACCCAGTCCAGGTGTGCTGGTGGTTAGAATGACCTAAAGCATCACCCACCCCAAGGATCTGGAACATCCTGGCCAGGAAACCTCCAGGGCCAGCTTCAGTCAGCTCTAACCATCTCATCTTTAGACTGGAAAAAGAATAGGCTTTCACTAAGAACACTGTCAGCCTTGAAGACCCCATTAAATCTGTGTGTGAGGGAAAAGGTTCCTATGTCCAATCCACATGCCAGAATCAGAGCCTGAAGTCCCATCAAATCCAGAATTCAAGTCAAATGCTTTTGCTCCTGGCTTAAAGGGAGAAAGAGGTGAACTCAACTTAGAAGACACAGGGTGAGAACCCAATGAAACCCATTCTCCTACACCCTGTTGTAATAACTTGACCTGTAAAACCATGACAAGCACAAGTCAGAGACGTGCTCAGAAATCCAACAGCAATCTCACTCTGCATCAGTGACAGGAGCCCAGAGCTGGGAGGAGGCTTATCGAGTGGCACCCTCCTGAGGGTGGAGTAAGAGAAGCAGCAACGGGGCCCAGTGGTCTCTGTGATAGCAGAGCATTACAAACAAGCAAGGTTTACATCTGTGGTACTTTGATGACCCTAGCCAGTCCAAACCTATCTAGAGCATTATTGCAAAAGGCCAGGACATGGTGCTAGGGGTAACAAGTGGGTGTTGTTCACTGGAAGAGCCTTCTATAAAGGCTCCAGGACTTCGCCCCAGTGTGGGCCTCTCTTTCTGAGCCCATATTTTCCCCGTACCTGCTAAGCTGAGAGAGGGGGGTGCTGGACAGGTCACCAGGCTGGGACAAGGAGGGCAAAGTGGCAGTGTGCTGAGATGCAGAGGGTAGGAGCGTACTGCAGGAGGTGGTGCTGGGCAGGGAGGCCACAGATGGGAGAGCGGAGGGAGGGTCTGTTGTCTTTGGAGCAGGAACAGATGCAGTAGCTGTAAGAAAAAGATCTGTTTAACTCTAGATCAAACCATGAATATCTGAAATACGCTCAATATCTTGTGACATGTCAGGAGCAGTTGAGACATACATAAAATTACATTTCCAATGGAAAATGTCCCAGCATGTCTCCAAATGGTCTCTTTTCTGTCAGATACGATTATTAAAAGGACACACAATGGTTAGATGCACGGGACCCAGACAGAGTAGGAAATGACATAATCACAGCAATTTATAATCATAAACTGTCCAATGATGTGGAAATACTTCACCCAACTAAAGGAAGGTCAACCCTAAGCCAGACCCAGAAAGAGGCTCTGAGCTTGATATAATTATAAAATAAGGCAAAATTTCCTTAAAAAGCTCAAGATGGGGACAGTGAAAATCTGGTGGGCGAGACCACCCAAGGGGTAAGTCTTTGGTTCTATCAAATCAGTACCAAATCAGGCTGACCTTGTGAAAGTTCATAGCCAATTTAGGACTGGTGGGGGTTAGAGAGCCCAAGGTACATATGCTGTGAAGCTACATATGCCTCAAATCTACAGGAAGAGCACACAGCTGCTGCTGAACTCTTACTTTGGCACAGGGAGCATAGCATTTCCTTCACATGTGCTTGAGGACAGTAACCTCAGAGCACAGTAGGCTTTCAGGAGACCATGAGTGCTATCAATCCTCACTGCAGAAAAGACTCAGTTTTAGTGGCATCCACACATATGACTCAGATATGTGCTTGGAAATAAAGCATCATTGTCTTTTCCAGTTAGGAAGGAGAAGCCAGTACCCTCCTGCAGCGTTCCCTGGGAGCCAGTAGAAAACAGATTAGTCTCTAAAAGGAAGGATGATTAGAAAACAAGCACAGGCAGCAACAGGCTCAAAACACAATGTAAATCAATACAATACTGTCCTGCCTTAGTGCAGTCTGACCAAGACAGAGCAATATGAGCTATTACCTCATTTGTAATAATACCACCAGATACAACCTGGTCACATGGGAATCTCTAGCTGAACTTCTAACCCTACCAAAGAAAGGGTGCCAACAATGGATCAGAAGTAACTATCAGCAAAAATTTAAAAGGAGTATTTTTGCAGAATTAGCCATTAACCTATTGCATTCCCTATCAAGTTAGTGATGCGCTTATTTTGTTTGGTTTCCACCAGCCATGACAAAAAAGTTAGTTTGTACACTTACTGTCTACTGTCTGCTGACTTCGACCACCACCATGTCCATTCTATAAGGAAGAGAAAATAAGTAAACCCACAAAAATAAAAAAAACTCAAATGATTTTCTATTGGGATTTAGCCACAAACACATGAAACATAATCAAGGAACAGTGGCCTGTTTTGTTTTGTTTTCTTTTCATAACATTGAGGGGCAATATGACAGATTCTTTTCTTCTTTTTTTTTTTAATGTTCTTGATTTTTAGAGAGAGGGGATGAGAGAGAGAAATATCAATGTGAGAAACACCGATTGGTTGCCCCCCATATGCACCATGACTGGGGTGCAGCCTTCTCTTCCCACTAGCTTTTATGACAATGACAGAAAGGCATAGGCCCTATAGGGAAGAGACTAGAACAGTCCCTTGTGAATCTAAACAAGCTCAACAGAAAAGGTTCAAAGGGGCTGAGGAAGGAGTAAAAAAAAAAAAAAATAAGAAATCGCCCACCTATGCTGTCCCACATCAAAGCCCACACTCAGCAACCTATACCCCCCACCCCAAGTCAGAGCCCTTAGTTAACCTTTTGGTGTCAAGTAGGCAGCCTGGAGTCACCAGACATTTGAGGAAAACACCTAATATAAAATATGTAAAACAAAAGAAGGGAAGTAAAAACAACAACAAAAATTTTTAAGTAGAGATGTACAAATAGCTACTGCTTAGAAGGAGACTTAGAAAATGTATCCAAATTTTGCTAGACCAATTCAACTATATTTTAATATTTTTATTTTGTCATCCACCTTTTAAAAATATTTTTATTGATTTCAGAGAGGAAGGGAGAGGAAGAGAGATAGAAACATCAATGATGAGAGAAAATCATTGATTGGCTGCCTCCTACAAACCAGGAATATGCCCTGACCAGGAATCAAATGGTGAACTCCTGGTTCATAGGCCTGCGCTCAAGCACTGAGCCACACCAGCCAGGCTATCATCCAGGTTTTAAAGTAGTTCTCATCAATAATGCGCGAACATCTTTGCCTTATAGGAAACTAAAATATTACAGATAAGATTATAGTTCCCCTCTTACCCCATCCAAACCACGAAGAGTAATTTGGGGTGTGTCCCTATATTATCCTTATACTAAGCTTCTGGGCCCATTTACACACATTCCTGTTTTTATGATGCTTGAAATGCAGGTTTTGAATTCGATGCCTACTGTTAGCAAAGTCAACAAACTACAAGGATTCTACTCAAAAGGTTAGTAAATTGTAAAAGAAAGTCTCAATCAAAAAGCTTAATTTCCCACCCTGTCCAGGTGGCTCAGTTAGTGTTATCCCACATACCAAAAGACTATGGGTTCAATTCCAAGTCAGGGCACATACCTAAGTTTGGGATTCAATCCCCAGTTGGGGCACATATGGTCAGGGAGTATACAAGAGGCAACCGATTGACATTTATTTCTCTGTCTCTCTACCCCCACTCCCTCCCTCTCCATCTTAAAAAAAAAAAAAAATCAATAAACATATCCTCAGCCCTAGCTGGTTTGGCTCAGTGAACAGAGCATCGGCCTGCAGACTAAAGGATCTTGAGTTCAATTCCGGTCAAGGGCCCGTACCTCGGTTGCAGCCTCGGGCCTGGTCAGAGCTCATACAGGAGGCAACCAATCAATGTGTTTCTCTCACATTGATATTTCTTTGTCTTTCCCTCTCTCTTCCACTCTCTCTAAAAGTCTATGGAAAAATATCCTCAGGTGAGGATTACAAAAAATTAAAAAATCAAATCAAATCAACATATCCTCATGTGAGGGCAAAAGAAAAAGAAGGCTCAAACTACACACTGAGCTCCAAAAGAGGACAGGAAGGAACCCGAAAGACCACTTACCGTGACAGTTCCTGGAACTGACTCCAACGGACTCACAGAGCTTTGGTATGCAACCCTGTTGTGCACAGAACTCTGGTCATAGGAGGAAGACGTTGTTGCTGGACTAGTGGAGCTCAGGGATGAGCTGGTCAGACTGGAGGAGGTAATGACTGAAGTTGTATAGGTGGAGTTCTGTACTGCACTGGTCATTGGTAGAGAGGTATTCAAAGAATCACTACAAAGGGTATTAGACATACATTTGTGTCAATTTACATAGCTTCATGAAGGAGAACTATTTTATCATACTCTAAATTAAATAAACATGTCTGCAACCACAAGTTTATACTACTGCATTCTTCAATTTGTTAACAATGCAATGAAGCTTCAAAACAATCCCCCAAGTCTAGCACCATCCCCATAAAAAGCTAGACCCACCTAACTTAATGGACAGGCAAAGGGACAGCTTTAAGAATCTTTAAGGAATTTAGATGTCTGAGACCATCTTTAGAAAAGGAACCCATGCAAATATCAGGTTTGGGCTCTGGAAAGTGGAAAAATTAACTAGTAAAATAAAATGTAAAATCTGGCCTTCTCTATTTATAAGATATCCCACTGAATGAACATGTTAGCAAGATGTGAAAAAACTGAACCTCTCAGAAATTACTCATAGAAAGGTAAAATGCTGCAGCCGCTGTGGAAAATGTGATGCTTCCTCAAATGGTTAAATAGTTACCATATAACCCAGCAATTCCTAGCTGTACATCCACAGAATCAAAAGCACACAAAATATGTAACTAAATGTTCACAGCAGCATGATTCATAATAGCCAAAAAGTGGGAACAATGCACATGTCCATCAACTCAGAATGGATAAACAAACGTGGTATATTGGCACAATAAAATATTATTTGGAAACAAAATGCATTCATGCTTCAGCAAAGATGAACCTTGACAACACTATGCTAAGTGAAAGAAGTCAGTCACAAGTGGAGATAAATTGCATGATTCTAGTTATATGAAATGTCCAGAATAGGCAAATCCAGAGACAGATTATTGGTTGCCAGAATATGAGGGGAAGGGGACACTGGAAGTGACTGCTACTAGGCACAGGGTTTCTTTTTAGGGTGATGGAAGAAAAGTTCTGGATTAGATACTAATGAGGGCTGCACAAATCCACTACCACAGGGTGTACTGTCTGCCTCCACCAGGTGATTTCTTAGGCTCTATTCTGTTTTACCTTGCAAATTAAAGACTTACTCTAGTCAAAACCAGAGAAGTGGGACTATATACCTTAAAGACTTTGAATACAAGCTGATGGGAATCTGGTTACTATTTTCACTGCTTGCAGCTGATCCAAATTCAGAGAGAGAAGATTCTGATCCAAATTCCAAGGCGC